GCCCGGCTGATTTTTTGATTTATTGTAGAGATGAGGTCTCGCTGCCCAGGTGGGTCTCGAACCCGTGGGCTCAGGCAATCCACTCACCTCAGCCTCCCAAAGGCGCGGGATTACAGGCTGAGCCACCGAGCCCGGCTTATATTTTTAATTTTAATTTTTGAGTCACAGTTTCGCTCTGTCACCCAGACTGGAGTGCAGTGACATAATCATAGGTCACCGCAGCCTCAACTTCCTGGGCTCCCATCTGAGCCTCCCGAGTAGCTGGGACTATAGGTGTACACCATCACACCCAGCTAATTTTTTTGATTTTTTTTTTTTGTGGTTGTTGTAGAGACAGGATTTCATTATGTTACTTAGGTTAGTCTTGAACCCCTGGGCTCAAGCAATCTTCTCGCCCTGGCTTCTCAAACTGCTGGGATTATGGGTGTGAGCCACCACGCCTGGCTCAGAAAATATTATTGATCATTTTGTGTGTGTGTGTGTTGGAGTCTCACTCTGTCGCTCAGGCTGGAGTGCAGTGGCACATCCACAGCCACCATGGCCTCGACCTGCTGGGCTTAGGCAATTCGTCCTCCTCAACCTTCTAAGTAGCTGGAACTACAGGTGAGAGCTACCATGCCCAGCTAATTTTTTGATTTGTTGTAGAGTCGAGGTCTTGCAAAGTTGCCCAGGCTGGTTGCAAACTCCTAAGCTCAGGCAATCCTTTTGCCTTGGCCTCACAAAGTGCTGGGATTATAGGCTTGAGCCACCTCACCCAGCTTATATTATTGACCTTTATTGTCATTATTCACAAGAGTTTAACATGGTTGGTAAGAGATCTTTTCTTTTGTCTCTTTTTCTTTTTTTTGAGTCTGAGTCTCCGTTGCCCAGGCTGGAGTGCAGTGGCACACTCATAGCCCCCACAGCCTTGACTTGCTGGGTTCAGGTGATCCTTCCGCCTCAGTCTTCCAAGTAGCTGGAACTACAGGCATGCACCACCACGTTCAGCTAATTTGTAGATTTATTGTAGAGATGAGATCTTGCCAAGCTGCCCAGGCTGGTCTTGAACCCATGTGCTCAGGCAATCCTTTCACCTTGGCCTCCCAAAGTGCTGGGATTACAGGCTTGAGCCACCATGCCTGGCCAAGAAAGATGTTTTCATGAACAAAATTTAATGCAGCTCAGGGGAAAGCTGCCAGGGAGCCTCAGTGACCTCAAAGTTGGCTTTCTGTTCCCTTATTGCTTCCAGTCAAAAACTTTTTTTTGTTATCTAGCTGGTTGCCATTAATTTTAATTTTTAATTCATTTTTAAAATTTTAGATTCAAGGGAGTACTTGTGTGTTTGTTACTTGGACATATTGTGTAGTAGTAGGGATTGGGTGTCAGGAGGCCCATTGCGTGAACATTGTGTGCCGTAGGTAGTTTCTGAACCCTTTCCCCATTCCCCCCTTATTGGTGTCCCCAGTGTCTATTATTTCCATCCTTGTGATTATTTGTCTCCCGCATATGAATGAGAACATGTAGTGTCTGGTTTTCTGTTTCTGAGTCAGTTCACTTAGGACGATGATCTCCAGCTCCATCCACGTTGCTGCAAAGGACATGGTTTCATTCTTCTTTATGGCTGTCCAGACTAAAACTTCTGAGGATGGCTGAGTCCAGCAGAGAGCCCTGGTCCAGGCTCCATCTTAGTTTTCCTCTGCCTGTCTCTCTTCCCAGGCTCTCGTGGGGAAGGTGCAGATGCAATACTATGTGAATTATGGCGTTTCCTCCTCTACATAAAGGCACACAGATCAGTGACCTCTCACTATTCTATAGAATCTCCCTTTGGTCCTAATTTAGGAGTCCTGGACAATGCAGGTTCCAAATCCTATGATGGATAACAGAGCCCACCTCCTAGGGTTTTTGTGTGGAATGAATGAATTAACAAATATAAATGACTTTGGAACCGTGCCTGGCATGTGGTAGGCTCTCTATAAGCCTAAATAAGAATAATAATTATTATTATTCTAAAAGGGTGGCAGACATTGCCCAAAGCAGAAAAAGAGGGGAAACAGTGAGGGCTTTGGGGCCAGAACGTCTGGGCTTGATGTTCAGGTTCTTAATGTGTAGCCTCAGGCAAGTCGATTGATTGCCTTAAAATCCCTTGGTAGTCTAAGCTGTAGAATGAGCTTAGTAATAATAATATCTTTTGTGGGCCAGGCACAGTGACTCATGCCTGTAATCCCAGCACTTTGGGAGGTGGAAGCGGAGGACTGACTAAGTCTAGGGATTTGAGACCAACCCAGGCAACTTGGCGAGATCTCATCTCTACAATATATAAATAAATAAATAAATAATTAACTGGGTGTGGTGGTGTGCACCTGTAGTTCCAGTTATTTGGAAGGCTGAGGCGGAAGGATCGCCTGAGCCCAGCAGGTCGAGGCTGCAGTAGCTGTGAGTGTGCCACCACACTCCAGCCTGGGTGACAGTGAGACTCTGACTCAAAAAAATAAATAAATAATATGCTTTGTAAGATTGTTGTCAGATTTAGAGCTAATATGTATATGAAATATGCAGCATAGAAGAGCACGGGCATGGTGACTCACACCTCTAATCCCAGCACTTTGAGAGGCTGAGGCAGGAGGATTGCTTGAGTCCAGTTCGAGACAAGCTTAGGCAACATAGCAAGACCTCATTTCTATAGAAAAATTAAAAAATTAGGTGGGCGTGGTGGTGCACACCTATAGTCCAGCTACTCCAGAGGCTGAGGTGGAAGGATTGACTGAGTCCAGGAGGTCAGGGCTTCAGTGAGCTGTAATCATGCCACTGCACTCCTGCCTGGGCAATAGAGTGAGACACCAACTCAAAAAAAAAAAGAAGAAAAAGACGAAAATGAAGACGAAAAAGAAGGGGGAAAAAAGAAGCGGAGGAGGAGGAAGAAGAGAAAAAAGAAGAAGAAGAGACCATGTACGAGGGGTATTGCTAAAAGGTGAGTGTTATTACTTTTAGTCCTCCTGGAGTTTACATTTTCAGTAGAGGGGGTTTTTTTTTGGTTTTTTTTTTTTTTTTTGAGTCAAGTTCTTACTCTGTCTTCCAAGCTAGAGTGTAGTGGTGGCATAATCACGGCTCACCACAGTCTTGCAATTCCCTGGACTCAGGCAATCTTTCTGCCTCAGCCTTCCAAGTAGCTGGGACTACAGGTGTGTGCCACCACACTGGCTAATTTTTTGTAGAGGCAAAGTCTTACTATGTTGCCTAGGATGGTCTTGAATTACTGGACTCAAGCAATCCTCCCGCCTCAGCCTCCCAAAGTGCTGGAATTATGGGTGTGAGCCACCGTGCCTGGCCCAGTTGAGCTCTCTTATAACAGAGCCTCTTAACAGGTTTCCCATCTACTCTGTAGGCACTTCCTGAGCACCTACTCTCTGCCTGGCCTGCCCTGCCCTGGGAGGCTATAATATATGGCACAGGAACTGGCCGTCAGGAAGTTCCTTATTGGGAAAATAAGACTGAAAAGTGTGAAGAAGAAACATATAAAACTGCATTAAATTAGCCAGGCGTGGTGGCACACACCTGTAGTTCCGGCTACTTGGAAGCCTGAGGTAGAAAGATGCCTGAGTCCAGCAGGTGGAGACTGCGATGGCTATGAATATGCCACAGCACTCCAGCCTAGGCGACAGATTGAGACTCTGACTCAAAAAAACAAACAAACAAAAAACACAAAAAACTGCATAAAATAAGGCATTAAGTAAACAAATAACTAAACGCCAGAAAGGCATGGTTCAGCTAGCAGCCACGAGCCAGAGCTGAAAGAGGAGCAAACATTAAGGCTTCAGTTAAGGACTTGAGGCCAGCTAAATGTCAAGGCCACCTCTCTGTCCCAGCCAGCTGTGGACCCATCCTTCCTTTTTTTTTTTTTTTTTGAGTTGGAGTCTCACTCTGTCGCCCAGACTGGAGTGCAGTGGCTGCTCCCGGCCACCACAGCCTCGATCTGTGGGGCTCTGACAATTCTTCCGTCTCAGCCTTCCAAGCAGCTGGAACTACAGGCACGCGCTACCACGCCCGGCTAATTTTTTGATTTATTGTAGAGATGAGGTCTCCCAAGTTGCCCAGGTGGGTCTCGAACCCACGGGCTCAGGCAATCCACTCACCTCGGCCTCCCAAAGCGCGGGATCACCTGAGCCATCGAGCCCGGCAACTCATCCCTCAACTGCATCAGGGCCGCCTGTCTTCCCTCAGCATTTGACTTCCTTCCCTCTTGATGTCTCATTCCAAGTCTCTACAACTTTCCACTACTGAGTGTTTCTAAAACAAACGCACAACCCTTACTATGTCTGACCCATAGATTCTGCTTTTGGTTTTATTCCTTAGCTTTTCTTTCTTTCTTTTCTTTTCTTTTTTTTTGAGTTGGAGTCTCACTCTATTACCCAAATGCTCAGGCAATCTTCTCACCTCGGCCTCCAACAGTGCTGGGATTATAGGTGTGAGCCATCGCACCCGGCTAGCTTTTCTTTAACTCCCTGGAGATATTTTACGTAAGGATGAGCCATCTTCTTATAGGTCAAAAATAATCAAATATGAGCAATGGATTGAAGCCTGATAGATCCCATGGACAATGGA